TGGGACATCTGAATATCTTCTTTGAACTGTTTAATTACTAACTACAAATTATTTTGGCTATGGACTTAATATTGCATGTTTATAATTCATAAAAACATCAAGCTACAATTTGGCTCGGTATTTGGATTTGTGACATCATCAGTATATTATATCGATATGGTCCCAACAGATTTGCTTTTATTTCAATACGACTTTTTACTTTCTATTTGACGACCCCCTCCCCTTTCCTTCTTGCTTGCTTCCAAGCAGACAGTCGATTTGGACAAATGGGTATGTCTGTTCCAACGTCTTTCTGTCCTGTAACTCGTGTCCCGACCAACCTGGCAACTGTCCTCGTTCCTGTCCTGTTGCCCTCTGGATGTCCTATTCAGTGAAATAGTTCTGTGTCGTTCTCATGTTCAGATTCATATCTGTGTAGCCCTTCCCCCGAGGTGGCGTTTACTCTCTACGTCTCCTAAAACGTTATTATAAAGTTAATGAAACTGAATTAAAACATTTGAATAGTTGAGATGAAGCCATTATTTTAGTGATGACAATTTTATAAACTTATGTACTTTTTTCTACATCTGTATCTTTTATGATTGAATAACCCTACAAAATCAGACCTAACTCAGGTGTCAATGCATTTACATTCCATGCAGAGATATCACCAGCACATGTGCCTTCATGCCCTCATCATAAATATTTTACACTGCCTTGCTTTATGTTGTTCCTTTTGTTTCAGCTCATTTGTGAAGTTGTTATGTTCGTCTAAGTTACTTATAACCTATGTCCCACTCGGATTTTCCAATTTTTGGTTTCATGAAATGCACTTCTTGAAAAACATGGTTTCTGTCCAGTTAGCTTTGTTCTTCTACCAGTGACATTTAAGTACCTTGTTGTTAAAACCAAGATAAAATCACAAGTTATATTTGTATTATAATTGAACAGCAGCTTCCATTGTCATAGGTTTGACTCTCACTGATTTAATGATGGCAGAAAATCCCAAGAGCATCAGAAAGTCTCTGTAGTTGCAGCTTTTTATCAGTCACATTATTGTCGGTAGTTGGCGGTTCCAGGAGTTTGAAGATATGGATGAGCCAGATCTTTTTTAATGGGGAGCAGGAGGATTAGAATAGCATGGCATGCAGCCCAGTGCAGCCCCCCCCCCCACCTCTGTTAGGTGGATAGGGAAACTGGAGACCCCCAGAGCTCTGGACAGGCTGTGTCCTCTCTTAAAACACACACACTCACACACTTATTTTTGTAGTGGAGACTTTAATTTGGGAAACATTAACCCTTAAAACCAAGTCTTAACCCTCAAACAACCATTTAAATTTCTATCTATCAAACCCTGTTGCATATGTTGTAAAACAAACACACACACACACACACACACACACACAAACACACACACACACACACAGATTCCATCACCACCTGTCCTAACAGAGCCTGGTGCTAATGTGGACCAGGGCTAATGGTATAGTGCCACCACTTGACATACCTGCCCCTGACTCATCCCAGTGGATTATGGGTACTTAACTTGACACAACAGCTGAGCGTTATCTTCCAGATGGCTGAACTAAATGGCGGTTTTAGCTGATCTGTCCACAACTGCCACAATAATTGTGTTTTTCTTGTTGCTTCCTTGCTGGATGTTGAGAAAAGGTAGGATGATTTTATTTGTTTGACTTTCTATGACTTTGTGAACATGGGGTTACTGGATTACAATCTTTTGTGATGTATCAAACTTTGCAAATATCTCATCCCAGCTTTGTTCATGTTAATGTGTTTCTTCCTGTTTTATTCTTCTGTTTGTGTTTCTTATGTTGTGTATTATGTTTTGGGGGAAAAACGTTAGACTTCAGTGTTTTATCATAATTAAAATGATCAACATTTAGTTGATGTGATCCAGTTGAGCTCTATCTTTGAAGTGAGTGTCTGACTCATCTGTTAAACACTTTTCTATCTTCTCCCTCTCCAGTCGTCCCAAGGTGGAGGTCATCGTACTTTACTGTACGGTCATGCCATCCTTCTGAGACACCACCACTCAGGCATGGTAAGACTGTCTATCACCAGTTTGTTTACCGTAGTTAAAAGATACAATTCCATGTTCTGGTCATGTCGTGAGTGTAAATTTCTCTCCAGTACCTGAGCTGTTTGACGACATCTCGCTCCCTCACGGACAAGCTGGCCTTCGACGTGGGCTTACAAGAAGATTCCACAGGTAAAGACAAACTGAGAGATACTTTTTCAAAAGATATTATCGACACACAGATTCCATGGTTGTGGTGGGTGTTGACAGTCTCAGTGGATGTGAACTATAATCCGTTTTTTTATTTTATTTATCATTTGCAAGTGTAAATGTCCATTGGGAAATGCAGGTGGTTCTTGTTGTTCTTGCAGGCGAAGCATGTTGGTGGACCATTCATCCAGCGTCCAAGCAAAGGTCAGAAGGTGAAAAGGTCAGGGTGGGTGATGACCTCATCCTTGTCAGCGTGTCCTCTGAGAGATACCTGGTAAGACTCCTCATGTCTTAACGATTTAGACGCGATATAAACACTGTCAGATTGAAAATGGTCCCAATTTTTTCTCTGCCCTGTTCTCAGCACCTGTCGTATGCCAGTGGAGATCTGATGGTGGACGCTTCGTTCATGCAGACCCTGTGGAACATGAATCCAATCAGTTCAGGATGTGAACTCGCTGAAGGTACAAACCTGTTTTATGTGTTTTTCTCTGCAGTGTGGTGTAATTCTGGAAACACACACACACACACGTGCAGGCACATACAAATAAACAAAGATAATCTACACATTTTATAGTTGTATTCTGAAATATCAACTCTGAACATATAAAATACAGAAAAATATATTAAGTCAGTGAGTATACACTATACACTTGCTGCGTTGTGTTTATTTGTAGGTTTTCTGACGGGAGGTCACGTTTTAAGGCTCTTTCATGGACACATGGACGAGTGTCTGGCCATCTCTACCCCAGAGGAAGGAGAGGAGAAGCGCAGGTAAAACGTAGACAATATCAAGATATGCATGAAGAAGAAATAAAATATTGTGTTAATCTTTTATCATATCACATGTGTGTCTTCTCGCCTCTACTTCAGGATGGCTCACTATGAAGGCGGTGCTGTGTGCAGTCAGGCTCGATCCCTGTGGAGGTTGGAGCCTCTAAGAATCAGGTGATTGAATTTACCATCATAATCATCATTATAATTATGTCGTAGTTCTTTTAATTGTATGTTTCTATCTTCTTTCTGCCTGTAGCTGGAGCGGTAGCCACATGAAATGGGGGCAGTCTTTCCGTATTCGCCACATCACCACAGGCCGGTACCTGTGTCTGGATGAAGAGAAGGGCCTGTTGGTGGTCGACCCAGAGAGAGCCGACACCAATCTCTCCGCTTTCTGCTTCCGTGCCACGAAGGTCAGAATGAACAAATTAACTTTCTCTGGACTCGCTTCATTTGATCCTGTCTGTTTTTTCTTTGTCATTTCTTCTCTCATTAAACCCTTTATGATTTTCTCCTACCTCTTCTTTCCTTCTGGTTCCCGTGAGCAGGAGAAGGTGGAGGTGGCTCAGAAGCGTGATGTTGAGGGGATGGGTATTCCAGAGATCAAGTATGGAGAGTCCATGTGCTTCGTCCAGCATGTGTCCACAGGCTTGTGGCTCACATACGCAGCTCTAGATGCAAAGGCTGCTCGTCTGGGAATGATGAAAAGAAAGGTATCAAAAACAGGATAGATTCTGTCGTAACGTGGCAGTAAGTGACAGTTTAGTCACTTCCAGACTCTTAAAGATTCTTTGACCTTGTTTTTGCACTTACTTATGGAGGATAGATAAACACAGTCACCAGACACTGGACATGTAGGAGAAGGACAGAGAGAACTGGGGATATCATCTGTAACATAATTATTTTGTCTGTGTCTTCAGGTCATTCTGCACCAGGAGGGTCATATGGATGATGCCCTAACTGTATCCCGCTCACAGACTGAGGAGTCTCAGGCTGCTCGAATGATTTACAGCACCATAGGTCTCTTCAGGCAGTTCATCAAGTAAGTATGTTTTCAAATTTGTAGAAATGAGAAGAAATACCTCTCCTCGACAGGGCATTTATGAAAAAAAATGTCTTTAATAGTCCTGGCATGAGCCAAAAATTGTCCGTCATATTCAATATGATCATATTTCGCTCTTGGTCTTGCAGGGGATTGGACTCTCTGAGTGGGAAGAGTAAATCTCTAGGGGCTGTGTCGCTGCCTCTGGAGGGCGTCATCCTCTCTCTTCAGGATCTAATCTTTTACTTTCGTCCACCCGAGGAGGAACTCGAGCACGAGGAGAAACAGACCAAGCTCCGCTCCCTCCGAAATCGTCAGAACCTCTTTCAAGAAGAGGTGATCTTCCTACTGCCCAGACATCCTCACACATCATCAGACTTTCAATGAATATTGATGTGTTCCTTGAACTAAGCGATATCCACTATGCATAGGGGAATTTGAACTTTTCACACTGGACACAAACTAAACCAAACCTTGTCCTGTAACAAACTTTAATCAAATTCCAAAGCTAAAAGGTGCTTCTATCAACATGTTCTTGTCCTCACAACACGATTACTTCAAGTATGTTCAAGTTTTATTAGTATAAGCTTGTGGACAAATTGACATAAAGCCAAGTTTCATCACAGGTACATGACTAACCTCAACTCTTAACATGAGAGAAATAATAACTTTCACCCTGTGTCTCTGTTTTCATTCTCAGGGAATGATCACCATCGTGCTGGAGTGCATCGACCGCCTGAATGTGTACAACACCGCTGCTCACTTCTCTGAATTTGCCGGGGAGGAAGCTGCGGAATCCTGGAAGGACATTGTCAACCTCCTTTATGAGCTTCTTGGTAGAATAGTCACTATAAACTCTCACAATGCAATAAAAACAATTAAAATACCATCTTTACTGAATAAATAACTTTATTTCACTCTTATTTTGTCTCCGCTGAACAGCTTCATTAATCAGGGGAAACCGCTCTAATTGCGCATTGTTCTGTGACAACCTGGACTGGCTGGTCAGCAAACTGGACCGTCTGGAGGCCTCCTCTGGTATCAGATGTTTCTGTCTCATTCACTGCTGCATCCTCGAGCTACAAATTACAGCTGTTTACTTACAATTGATCAATTATATATAGATATTAGATAAAGCTTACAATTAAAAAAGTGAGCAGTTAGGCACAAATCTGGTGCTTGACAATAAGCTTATGGAGGAACCAAATTCTTATTGATGATCTGTCTTAAGTTACTCACGTTATTACATTTTCCACTACATAACTTTTTATGTGAATGCCAACAATTTGTCACAATCCTCATCTCTAGGTATTCTGGAGGTGCTGTACTGTGTGCTAATTGAAAGCCCTGAGGTTCTGAACATCATCCAGGAGAACCACATCAAATCTATCATCTCTCTCCTGGACAAGCATGGAAGGAACCACAAGGTTTGTCTCCCCTCATTGGCAGGAAAAGGGTGGGAAGTAACATCAACTGGCAGTAAATCAATTCCCTCTATTTGACGTGTTTTCTAATTTCCATTAGCGGTTGTAGCCCCTGCATGAAAGTGTGAATTGTCGGCTCTGCTCTAACCACATGTGAACATAAAGATGACAGTAGTGTCTGTCTCTGTCTTGTCTTTAGGTCCTGGATGTCTTGCGCTCTCTTTGTGTGTGTAACGGTGTCGCTGTGAGGTCCAACCAGAACCTCATCACTGAAAACCTGCTTCCGGGTCGTGAGCTCTTGCTGCAGACCAACATTGTGAACTATGTCACCAGGTAATTAAGCTGCAAACCAGAGGCTACCATTTGCCTTTTTTCGAAGTCATCAATCCCTCTGTCAATTGGTTGTTGTCTATTCAGTACATTTTGATCTTTTCTGTCCTTAGTGTGAGGCCCAACATCTTCCTGGGTACATGTGAGGGATCCACGCAGTTTAAGAAGTGGTACTTTGAGATGATGGTGGACTACGTGGAACCCTTTGTAACGGCAGAGGCCACACACCTGCGTGTGGGCTGGGCTATGACGGAGGGCTACAGCCCATACCCTGGAGGAGGAGAGGGCTGGGGAGGTAATGGTGTGGGAGACGATCTCTACTCTTATGGCTTTGATGGACTGCATCTGTGGTCGGGTAAGATGATTCCCCCTGACGGATTTACTGTATTATGACCCATGATGCTCGACAGCTTGTTATATGGCCTCCTCTCTCTCTGCTCTGCTGTGCAGGAACCGTTGCTCGTCAGGTGGCTTCACCCGCTGCACACACCCTTGCTGCCGATGATGTCGTCAGCTGCTGTCTGGACCTGAGTGTACCCAGCATTTCTTTCCGTATCAATGGCCACCCAGTTCAGGGCATGTTTGAAAACTTCAACGTGGACAGCCTCTTCTTCCCTGTAATCAGCTTCTCTGCTGGAGTCAAGTAAGAGTAAAAATATAGTGGGTTCCTGTATTCCATTTCTTTGATTTTCCAGTTTTATTGATTTGCATGTTGATTTCTTTCAGTGGAACAATTCATTCATTCATTAATGCCATATGATGATTTAGGGACAGAGGCTGTTTTACCAGTTTCCTATGAGGCTGTTTAAAATCATGCGATTTAATTCTAATTTGCACCCTACAAATGCAAGATTATACCTATAGAATGCCCAAATTAAAAAATTAAAAAATTGATGAAGGAAAATATTTTTTTAACTGCGTTTGTTTGTCAGAAGGTTTATGAAAAAAAACTACTCCAGGGAAGAACCCATTCCATTCAGATCCAGGTCAGGGGGCAGATCTAGGAAATATTGGCATGATATTTTAAAACTTTTGTTGACTTCGTAGGGGATAATTCACAGATATTGATGAATAAGATATTTAGGGGACTGTTATCTGAGTTTGTGCAATTTGGTTCAGATCCAATCGAAATCCTTATCGAGTGAATTTAAATATGGTTTTATCAGGTGACTGTTTGGCCTTGATGCAGGTTTGTGCTCAGTGTCATTCTACTTCTATAAATGCATTTAAAAGCTTTAATTTATCTCCCTAGTAATCCCTCTAACAGCGTTTGAGACTTTCCAGCTGTCGTGTGTAATGATCCCTGACAGTGCTGAGTTGGGGCTTATGGTAAATTTACAAATGAGAGCAGGGGGGGAAACTCAGACTCGCTCCACTTTTTTCTTCAGTATGAGTCTTAAAGGCTAAGACACTGTTGACATAAAGTGCTTTAGTGGATTATAAAGACCTCTCAAATAGATAAAGAAGACGACTGACTCTGGTTCTGTCACCGCAGGGCTCGGTTTCTCCTTGGCGGTCGTCATGGAGACTTCAAGTTCATGCCCCCACCTGGCTACGCTCCGTGCTATGAGGCTCTGCTGCCTAGAGAGAGGATGCGCATCGAACCCATCAAGGAGTACAAGCACGACTTCAATGGCATTCGCAACCTGCTGGGTCCCACCCTGTCGCTAACCCACACCTCCTTCACTCCCTGCCCTGTGGACACTGTTCAGGTAAAAAGTCACAAAGCCTTAACTCAGACTTTGGATGTGTTTATGTGTGTTTGCTGACTTTCCCTTGCTGTGTGCAGATTGTGTTGCCACCTCACTTGGAGCGTATCAGAGAAAAACTGGCAGAGAATATTCACGAGCTCTGGGCTGTGACTCGTATTGAGCAGGGCTGGACGTATGGGAATGTGAGTATAGAGTCAGCACTGCATTACAAAACAAACAACCTCACATTAAGATGATTTGGAGCTCTTAAGTAAAATCAAAATGTATTCATTTTGTAATAAAATAAGGGTGTTTTCATTGTTCAATATAGGGGTCCAGTATATAACTTAGTGTTATCATTGTCTGAAAAGGGGACTTGTTTATTTACTATTCTTTAAATTCCACCATAATTGTAAGTCCTCACTGATTAATGTCTTCAGTTATAAAGAACAGTATAAAGACTTGGACTGTCATTCCATTCAAATCTGTAGAATGTGTCACAGAGACATGACGACATAAATTGAAGGGCAGTTTTTTTCCTTCTTGCTCTCTCCCTCTCTTTTCATGCACAAAGTTAAGTGAGCACACTCAAGAGCAGCAGAAGATCAGCAATGGAGACCAAGCCCAAGGGGCAGAGCCAACACATTTATATAATGATATAAATACAATATATTGAATAGCAAACAGTCCTAATGAGGATACTTATACCCATTTCAAATATCTTTTGTAAAAATGCAGGACTTTAGCAGAGACTTGAAATAAATCTTGGTGACAACAATGTCTATATAGAGAGTTTTTTATTTGGTATTTAAATTGTATTAGTGTAGGTGTCACATAGAATGCACATTTATTAACAACACACACATGCACAACAACACAATAAAAGGAGAGCCCTGAGAGACAGAGATATTTAAAAGTCTATTTTCATAAATTGCATTCCTCATTTACAAACTCAGGGTGCATAATCGGAAAATATGGTCATACCAATGTATATTCCCAGCTTTATGAAGATTGTCCATCTAGGTTATCTAGTCTGACAGCATGTATTGAACACAAGGTTAGTGTCTATTGAAGAGAACAAGCATCAGTTAATTGGTGAGACTTTTATACAAGTTTATTAATCTGCTGTCAACTTCCTCCACAGTTCAGGGATGACAATAAGAAACTCCATCCTTGTCTGGTGGACTTCCAGAGTCTTCCTGAACCAGAGAGGAACTACAACCTGCAGATGTCTGGAGAGACTCTAAAGTGAGTTGGTACAGAGGTTCTTTAGAGAAGATCTGTGGCTCAGAGGAGGAATTTTGGTGGTGATTCCTGTTTCCTTCATATCTCATATAGGACTCTCCTGGCGCTGGGTTGTCACGTTGGTATGGGTGATGAGAAAGCAGAGGAGAATCTTAAGAAGATCAAGCTGCCCAAGACGTATGATGATATTCTTTCACTGTATGAACTTTTTGCTATATCTTTTATGTCCATCTAATTATGGTCTTTGGTCTTTTCTCCAGCTATGTGATGACCAATGGATACAAGCCTGCCCCCCTTGACCTCAACCATGTCAAACTGACACCAAATCAGAACCAGCTTGTGGAAAAACTTGCAGAAAATGGACATAATGTTTGGGCAAGGGATCGGGTACGACAGGGTTGGACCTACAGTATTGTGCAGGTAACCATTTATATTGTTTTGATGGGTAAACATCTGGTGTTGAATTCAGATGTGTAATCCAACCGAGGCTAAACAATGCGGCCATTCCATTGTTTAATCGACGATTTCTTCCAAATAGTTCTTAGAGTATTTCTTTCTTAATTTTGTCCTCAGGACATCTTGAATAAGCGAAACCCTCGTCTGGTACCTTACAACCTGCTGGACGAGAGAACTAAGAAAACCAACCGAGACAGTGTTAACAATGCTGTCCGCACCCTCATTGGCTATGGCTACAACATTGAACCTCCAGATCAGGAGAGCAGTAAGTCAGCTGACTTCATGCTAACATGTGTTGAATATTGAATATCATGTAATTTCAAAATTCTCCAAAACAAATTTGCCATCTTCAACGCTCTTATTCTTCTGGCACTTTCCCCCTCTTTCCCTGCAGCTGGCCATGGCCTAGAGAACACCCGTGGGGACAAGGTACGAATCTTCAGGGCAGAGAGGTCGTACGCTATCACCCAGGGGAAGTGGTACTTTGAGTTTGAGGCATTGACCACAGGGGAGATGAGAGTGGGATGGTCACGTCCAAATGTCCGCTCTGACACTGAACTTGGAGCAGATGAACTGTCCTACGTCTTTAATGGCAATAAGGTGAGTCCCCATCTTTAAGGTTCATCATTAATCAATGTCAATTTAGATAGTTGCGTAGATTTCTTTCCAAATAACTTTTAAATCTAATAAATCAGCTTTGTAGTCAGAAAAGATATATAGCCCAACATTCATGACTCTGATTTTATTCTTTGAACAGAAATTTGAAGTTGTATTTTATTGACTAGATTTATTGATGTAATCTCTTCCAGGCTCAAAGATGGCATATTGGTAATGAACCATTTGGTCGCCAGTGGCAGTCTGGTGATGTAGTAGGTTGTATGATTGACCTCACCGAGATGAACATCATGTTCACACTAAACGGAGAAATGCTGATCAGTGACTCGGGCTCAGAGATGGCTTTCAAAGATATTGAAATTGGAGAAGGTAAGAATTTATGGCCAGTTGTCCTTTATTTGTTCGGCATTAGTAGCAGTAAAGTAAAGGAAGTGTTGCATAATTGTATAATTGTATAACACTGCAGGACAACTTAAAAATATTTACCTATATTTCTGTGATTTTTTCCCATCAGGTTTTATCCCAGTGTGCGCATTGGGCTTGTCTCAGGTCGGAAGGATTAATCTTGGTCAAAACGTCAGCAGCCTGCGCTACTTTGCTATCTGCGGCTTGCAGGAAGGATTCGAACCTTTTGCCATCAACATGAAGCGAGACATCACCATGTGGTTCAGTAAAAGTTTGCCCCAGTTTGTGCCTTTGCCCCCCGATCACAACCACATTGAGGTAACTAATGTGTGTCACTTTTAATGTTCAATGGAGCTAGAGCTTTAAAACTGGATCATTTATGTCTTTAATCGTTGAATGTTGTCTCTCAGGTCTCACGTGTGGATGGAACTGTGGACAGCGCCCCCTGTCTGAAGCTGACCCATAGGACCTTTGGCTCTCAGAACGCCAATACGGACATGATGTTCCTCAGACTCAGCATGCCCATCCAGTTCCACGAGACCTTCAAGGTCCCAGCAGGAACCACCCCTCTCACCCGTCTGCTCACCATACCAGAGGAGGAGGTGGTGGTGATTGAGCCAGACTCAGAGTTTGAAGTTTTGAAGAAGTCTGCCAGCCGCAAGGAGCAGGAGGAGGACAAGAAGGAGCCGTCTGTACCAAAGGAAATCTCTGTAGAAAATGAGAAGGACTCAATGTCAGAAAAAGGAAAGAAAAAAGGGTAAGTATGACATGTTTCATCTACAGTGGAGAGGAACAAGAGGGTATAATGTGCACATTGTTATGTAAATAAATCAATCATCCCTCTTAAAAAAGCAAATATATGTTATTTCTCCTGCGCGAATTAGATTTTTCTCCAAGGCTAAGAAGGCTGCCATGACACCTCTCGCCCCTCCTCCACCTCCAGCGGTGCCACGTTTGGTGGAAGACGTGGTCCCTGATGACAGAGATGACCCTGAGATCATCCTCAGTACCACCACTGTGAGCTTTATCCTCTGCTAATACTTTGTTTTGCATTAGTTTGCATCATACTACTTAAGTCATTTTTGTATATTTTCATTCTGTCTGTTTTCAGTATTACTATTCTGTGAGGATTTTTGCTGGGCAGGAGCCCACTGGTGTGTGGGTCGGCTGGGTCACTCCTGACTACCACCAGTATGATCCAACCTTTGACCTCTCCAAAGTACGCAGTGTCACGGTTACTGTGGGAGACGACAAAGGCAACATACATGACAGGTTTGTCTTTTTAATTTTCTAGAGTGATACTAGTTACTACAGGCCTTACGGAAGAAATAAGGAGCTTGATCATATCTTTCCCATGGTGTCCCTCAGGGATCAATACATGGTCCCCCGGTTTTTCCCCATTTGTAGATATCCGTTATGCCGCATTATCCATTGTCGTGTATTTTTCTCCAGTGTGTCTGTGATGTAAAACCCTTTGGATCAACTGCATGATGTTAAAACTGCCACAGTAAAAAAGATGAATTGATATGACAGTTAACAGTGTGTTTGCTGTTTCTTTGCAGTATGAAACACAGTAACTGTTACATGGTTTGGGGAGGAGACCTTGTCAGTAACCAGCAGACCCGCTTCAGTCAGGAGGACATGGTGGTCGGCTGTCTGGTTGACCTTGCAACAGGTCTCATGACCTTTACAGCCAATGGAAAGGAGATAAACACCTTCTATCAGGTGAGTCTCGTTTACACAGTATAGGGTGTGTGAATATTTGTGTCTATTAATGAGTCTGAAAGAGTTACAGTCTGTTACTGTGGAGCTTTAAAGCCAGAAGTATTTTATTTCAGGTGGAGCCCAACACCAAGCTGTTCCCTGCCGTCTTAGTTCAGCCGTCCAATCAGAACATGGTTCAGCTGGAGCTTGGCAAACTCAAGGTAAGAAACTTCCTTTGCTTCTCCACCAATTGCTGCAAATATCTACTTCCTCTTTCCTTGAGACGAAAACTGTCTGAATGGGTTAACCTCTCATCAGTTTTCTCCCTTTTTCCAAAATCAGTTGCTCACTTTCCTTGTTTTCTGAATGATTGCCTAAACCTGTCCTCTTTTCCTCTCTCTCTCCCACATCAGAACATCATGCCAATCTCTGCAGCAATGTTCCGTAGCGAGCGTAACAATCCCGTCCCCCAGTGTCCGCCCAGGCTGGATGTCCAAATGCTGACCCCAGTTATCTGGAGCCGTATGCCCAATCACTTCCTGAGCCCAGAGGTGGGCAAAGTGAGTGAGAGGTTGGGCTGGATGGTGGAGTGCACTGAACCTCTCATCATGATGGCCCTGCATATCCCAGAGGAGAACAGGTCAGGCATAGTCATCTCTGCAGGCAGTTTGTAGTTGGTTACCAACTTTTTCCTTTGGACCTAATCAGTATTGATATATTTTTCAGGTGTATTGACATCCTGGAGCTGTCGGAGCGTCAGGACCTCATGAAGTTCCACTACCACACCCTCATGCTGTACTGCGCTGTGTGTGCTCTTGGCAACAACCGAGTGGCTCATGCCCTGTGCAGTCATGTGGATGAATCCCAGCTTTTCTACGCCATCGAGAACACCTACCTGCCGGGACCTCTCCGCAGTGGCTACTATGACCTGCTCATCAGCATCCACCTGGAGTCTGCCAAACGGGCTCGACTGGGCACCAACAGGGAATTTATCGTCCCCATGACGACAGAGACTCTCAGCATCCATCTCTATCCTGATACAAAGAAGGCTTACTCCCTCCCTGGTGTCGGCCTCACCACCTGCTTACGGCCCAAGCTGCATTTCTCGTCCATCAACTTCGTCGGCACAGACCCTGACCTGTACACGCTTAGTCCTGTCTTCCCTCTACAAGTGAGAATCAAGAAAAGAAAGTTTGCTTTTGTGTAAAATGCTGTAAACTTTTTGATACCTTTTACTTATTTTGATCTTTCCTCCACAGGAGCTGAAGACCAAGGCGATAAGCATGTTAACAGAAGCTGTGCTTGATGGTAGCCAGGCTATGCGGGATCCAGTAGGAGGCAGTGTGGAATTTCACTTTGTCCCGATCCTGAAATTGATTAGTACACTGCTCATTATGGGCATCTTCAACGATGAGGACACCAAGCACATCCTCAAGATGATTGACCCCAATGTTTTCAGGGGAAAGGAAGAGGGGGAGGAGGAGAGGGAGAAAGCTGAGGAGGGTGAAGCTACTGAAGGAGAAGGTGAGGAAGAAAAGGAGGAGGATGAAGATGCTGAACTTGAGGACGAAGGGGTCGGTGAGGAGGAGGAGGAGCTGAAAGACGAACATGAGGACAAAGAGGGTGAACCCAAGGAAGAAGGAGATGAGGGGGAGAAGGGGGTAAAGGCCATAGCAGAAAAAGTGGATGGAGAGAAGGCAGCGGAGGAGAAGGAGGCAGAAGCAGGGGAGGTAGAAGCAAAAGAAGAGGAGGAGGGTCTGGATGAGGGATTACTCCAGATGAAGCTGCCAGAGTCTGTCAAACTGCAGGTCACTCTCCATTAACACAGTTTATTTTGATATTTTCTTTACAGATTTCACATCCTTGAATATCAACCTATATACTTACAATTCATCTTTCTATCTCATCGCCCTCTCAGATGTGCACACTCCTGCAGTACTTTTGCGACTGTGAGCTGCGACACAGAGTTGAAGCCATTGTGGCCTATTCAGACCAGTTTGTCCAAGATATCCAGGGCAACCAACGTGTTCGTTATAACCTGCTGATGAGAGCCTTCACCATGTCGGCTGCTGAGACTGCACGCAGGACCCGCGAATTCCGGTCACCCCCGCAAGACCAGGTACTAATTATACAAAGTGTGTTAACCAGTAACCCTGTTCGGACTTACCAATTATGTCAACCCTATTGTCTTCTGAAAGTTAGAAGTGAGTTGACAGAGGGCTAGTTTTTGGAATATATCACATTTATGTGGAGAACAATGAGACACAGGCAGTGAAATGAAAAAGCTTTGTGTAAATCTTTCTGTTTTCCTCTTCAAGGTTCTTTTGCTGACCAACTTTAAACATGGTCCAGAGGATGAGGACTGTCCAGTGCCTGAGGAGGTGCGAGACACTTTGGGAGAGTTCCACAATGACCTCCTGCTTCACTGCGGTGAGACATTCTTTATGGATCTGGTGGACTTTAAAATATACAGATGTGAATATTCAAGTTTTATTTTACATTTGGGATTTAGAAGCTGTGTTCACATTGTACACATTTAGGTATACATATTGAGGAGGAGGCAGAAGAGGAGGAGGTGGACACATCACTGAGGGGCAGACTCCTCAGTTTGGTGGACAAGATCAGGAGCCTGCGCAAGAAAACGGAGGAGGAAAAGTCAGACGTTGATGAGGACTCAAAGCCTGGTAAGATTAACAACCAATTAACCTGTGAAATACTTAAAGAATTTGATTTTTCAAGCATGCACATTCCATAATACAGATATGAGTATTCTATATCCAGCATAAAATAATAAGGGAACCGATTTTGAAGAATAATTAAAATGTAAAGCTGCAATATTCATAAAAAAAGATATTCAGAGTACAGAGCATATAAAACAGATCCTTTTTAAATTTAAAGATTAATTACACAGTGTTTTTGTGCTTAACCAAGGCACCCTTCAGGAACTGATCTCCCACACCATGATCCACTGGGCCCAGGAGTCGTTCATCCAGAACCCTGAGCTGGTGCGTCTGATGTTCAGTCTGCTCCACAGGCAGTACGACGGCCTGGGCGAGCTGATCCGAGCGCTGCCCAAAGCCTACGCCATCAACGCCGTGTCTGTTCAGGACACGATGGATCTGCTCGAGTGTTTAGGGCAGATACGTTCGCTGCTCATTGTCCAGATGGGACCAGAGGAAGAGCGGCTCATGATCCAGAGCATTGGGTCAGTGTGTGGGGGGCACTGTGTAGATGAAAATACATGAGGGATGTGATATTGTTATTCTCTTGTCCTGTCAATATATTTCTTCTTCATATAATTATGGTAATTTTAGTTAATCTGTAATTGTTCTGTAATCTTATCTGAAATTCACCAACTCAAAACTTGAGTACAGAAATGCATCATGTGAATCAGACCTCTGTATCTTTTAAAATTTTCAGGAACATCATGAACAATAAGGTGTTCTACCAACACCCTAATCTTATGAGAGCTCTCGGGATGCACGAGACCGTCATGGAGGTGATGGTCAATGTGTTGGGAGGAGGAGGAGACTCGAAGGTGACTCAGAGGATTCTGTTTGTTTAGTTTATTTAGTCCAATCACTCTAATTGACTTATTTGTTGAGTCTTCACCAGTGCCGTGCACAGTACAAATGTATCTGTTTACTTTTTCTGTCCAGGAGATTCGATTCCCTCAAATGGTGACCAACTGCTGTCGTTTCCTGTGTTACTTCTGTCGTATAAGCCGACAGAACCAGCGCTCCATGTTTGACCATCTGAGCTACCTTCTACAGAACAGCGGCATTGGCCTGGGTCAGTGTCAGCCAACTATGTTCATTCTGAATAATCATTTTTGCCCTTCCAGCATGAAAACCACAGGAAAATCCAGTTCAGAAACATTTTCCAAACCAAAAGTCCCACTTTGTGTATTTTACACGTGCAGGTATGCGGGGGTCCACACCTCTGGATGTGGCTGCTGCTTCCTGCATCGACAACAATGAGCTGGCCTTGGCTTTGCAAGAGCAGGACCTGGAAATGGTTTGTGAAAATTTTAAATGTCAAGAAAGAAAAAGCAACGAGAGAGTACAGCTAACTCTTTATCTTCTAATGTCTGTCGGTGATGTAGGTGGTGACGTACTTGGCGGGCTGCGGACTGCAGATGTGTCCAATGCTCCTGTCTAAGGGTTACCCTGACATCAGCTGGAACCCTGGTGGAGGAGAGCGATACCTGGATTTCCTCCGCTTTGCTGTCTTTGTTAATGGTCAGCCCCCTCATGAAAATGATGAGATTTATTAGTTTCGACCTGTGAGTAACTTTCAGTAACATTTCCACCCCTGCTCCTCGCAGGAGAGAGCGTGGAGGAAAACGCCAATGTTGTGGTGCGTCTGCTTATCCGTCGGCCTGAGTGCTTCGGCCCGGCCCTGAGAGGAGAGGGTGGGAATGGTCTGCTTGCCGCCATGGAGGAGGCCATCAAGATCTCAGAGGATCCAGCAAGGGATGGACCAACTGTCAAAAAAGACAGACGCTTCATGTAAGACGGTGGAGTAGGTTTGATCCCCACCCTGAACTCTCCAAGTTTCTGGTAGCTCACAAGTAGGAGTAAAAGATGTTTTCTTGATTGGCAGGTTTGGTGGTGAGGAGCAGCATGAGGAGAACCGCTTGCATCTGGGAAACGCCATCATGTCCTTCTACTCAGCCCTTATTGATCTGCTTGGCCGGTGTGCCCCTGAGATGCATGTGAGTGGAATGGTTTCTTCACATCAATTTCTTTTAAGCCTCCAGCAACAGTGGCCAGAGAGGTTGCTGATGAGCATGGGTGAGTTTACAGTATCTCGTAATTGTTTATATCTGCAGCTGATCCAAGCAGGCAAGGGTGAAGCTCTAAGAATCAGGGCCATCCTGAGATCTCTGGTGCCCATAGAAGATCTGGTGGGAGTCATCAGCTTGCCTGTGCAGATTCCTGCCTATGGCAAAGGTTAGATAACGTTGAGATCATGTATGAACATTTTATCTAAAAATGTTTTGGCATTCTCCTGCATATTTAATTCCGTCTCTCCGAACCGCAGACGGACAGATTATTGAGCCCAAGATGTCTGCCAGCTTTGTGCCAGACCACAAGGCCTCCATGGTGCTGTTCCTTGATAGAGTGTACGGTATCGATAACCAGGACTTCTTGCTTCACGTTCTGGAGGTTGGCTTCCTGCCTGACATGAGAGCAGCAGCTTCTCTGGACACGGTGAGCAGGGAAAGACACAGACGTCAAGTAAAACAGACTTCTGTCATCTCCTGTATGCTGTTTTGCATTAGTGTTAAGAGTTTTTCTGTCTTCTTTTCTGAATGTAGGTGGCATTCAGCACAACCGAAATGGCCTTGGCGCTGAACCGCTACCTTTGTTCAGCTGTTCTGCCTCTGCTCACCAAGTGTGCCCCATTGTTTGCTGGGACGGATCACCGGGCCATCATGATTGACTCCATGCTCCACACCATCTATCGTCTGTCTCGTGGCCGAGCCCTGACCAAGGCTCAGAGGGATGTCATTGAGGAGTGCCTCATGTCACTTTGCAAGTCAGTACTGAAAACAAACCAATCTCCTTCTATATATTATCTATTTGTCAAGAGAACGATCAAACAAGAATCGCATGAGAGATGAAAAAAAACCAAACAATACTATTGTTTATTTTTTTACAGTTTAAAACATTTTCATGCTGCATTCTGGCTCACAGGTACCTCCTGCCCTCCATGCTGCAGCATCTGCTCAGACGACTGGTGTTTGATGTGCCCATTCTCAATGAATATGCAAAGATGCCTCTTAAGGTTTGCTTCTATTTGTTTCTAACATTTAACATAGAAAATGAAACAGATTAGAAAAGTACGCCAACAGTAAAAATAAATGCTGCTTTCAGTTTAAACACCGATTTGACATGTTATGGGTAGCTGGGGTGAGTTTATGCACAAAAAACTTACTAAAATGAAGTGATTATTGTATTTACCAATAAGTTGCAGTATATTTTGATTTAATGACTGACTTTAGTCCTTGTTTTATCTCCCTGATTTGATAATTTCAGCTGCTGACCAATCACTATGAGCGCTGTTGGAAGTATTACTGCTTGCCTAACGGATGGGCTAATTTCGGGGTGACCTCAGAGGAAGAGCTGCATCTCTCTCGTAAACTCTTCTGGGGAATCTTTGAATCTCTGGCACACAAGGTTAGTGATGAGAGTTTTGAGATGTGATGAGACTGTCACACGGTAAAGGTTCACGCCGGAAATGACTTCTCTGATGTTTTCTGACTCTAGAAATATGATGCAGAGCTCTTCAAGATCGCCATGCCCTGCCTCTGTGCAATAGCTGGAGCCATCCCTCCTGACTATGTGGACGCCACCTACTCCTCTCACGTGGAGAAAAAGGCCTCTGTGGACGCTGAAGGCAACTTTGATCCAAAACCAGTGGAGACCACCAAGTGAGATCATAGCCCAGTAACAGTCCAGTACAACACATGATTCTGCTTTTGAAAGATAAAAGTAGGCTTGTAGAGAATATGTATTTTTTTACTTTGAAATGTTACCAGGAGCTAATAAAGATATTTAAAATATTAGATATAATATGTAACAATTCTAAAGTGTCTAAACACAAATAGACCTATGTTATATATTTTGTTGATTTGTGTATTTACATTATCTAATATGTTTTCAACAATGTTCAAACCCATGGAAATACCAAGTTTTATTCAAGGTACTCAAGGTACTGGGACATTTTACTTCAGTCGCCTTTTAATTGCATCATATCGTCTTTACCCGTAGCTTTGTCCGTCTCTGCTGTTACTTCCGGGCCAAAAAAACTCACTGCTATCCAATTAGCCAGTCAGCGTTTCTTCCTTCCACTGTTTGTATATGTCACTTTTAGAATCACAATTATTCATGGCCGTTTGATGCGTAATGTGAATAAAACTTAAATACTTTGCCTCATCCATGAACATGATTTGCACCTGAGTCGCGTCACATTGATTTTCATCTGCAACAGTCGTAAAAACAACTCCCATGATCTCACGCTGATTCATGACATCATCTAACCTGGTCTTCAGTTATTGTTTTAAATAAGAGACCCCTTAGCAGCCGAGGTTGCACATTGTATGTTTAACAGTTTGCAGTATTAACTGTGACAAAATGTATTCACAGTACCATCATCCCCGAGAGGCTGGACTCCTTCGTCAACAAGTATGCTGAGCACACTCATGACAAATGGGCCTTTGAAAAGGTCAGTTTTAGAAATTGTCGACGTCCATGTTTTTTTCTGTTTTCATATCGTCAGCATTGTGTAACGGTTGTCTCAATTGTTGAATCCTTTTTCAGATTCAGAACAACTGGACCTATGGAGAGTTGTTAGATGAGAATGCCAAGACTCACCCGATGCTCCGGCCATACAAAACCTTCTCTGAAAAGGTCATTATCACTTATCACCTTGTATAGCGTCTCATAATTTGCACACAGTAAACTGTAACTTAGCTTTTTTAATATCCCAATGTGCTCTCAGAACTAAGGAAGCAAGTGCTGCTAAACTAATAATCCTGAGCCATGAGGATTTCATCTGTAAATCCAAATTTCAAAATTCTTTCTGAATGTATTGTTAATCTTTAAATCCCTTTCTCTCCATTTCTCAGGACAAGGAGATCTACCGTTGGCCCATCAAAGAATCCATCAAAGCCATGCTGGCCTGGGAGTGGACCTTGGAGAAAGCTCGGGATGGCGAGGGAGAGGTGGAGAAGAAGGCCACCACACGCAAGATCTCCCAGACTGCTCAGGTACAAGAGTTTGGGATTTTCTAAAAGTGTTGTTCTTGCAAAATAAAGCAAAAATGGATCTCGCACAGGTCTATCATGACTCAATGCTTAATAAATATCAGCATTCTTATACATTCTCTGATTGGGATTAATTAACAATGTTAAAATTGAAGCTGTATTCTATTTCTGTAACCTGATGCTCGTTAAACAACACATTTTTGGCAGGTGATTAGATAAAGCATCTCTCTATCATCATCCATCTGATAAGTGTCAGCAGCAAACAGCTTTTAGCTTTGAAACATGAATTCTTGCTTATGAGAAAGCCTACTGCCTCGCAAGGTTACGCTTTCAGAGAACCTCCTGGAATCATTAAGAGATCCCCAAGTCTCAGACTGAGAGTAACATGTTCAACTGTGTTTTCTGTCTCCAGGCCACTTATGATCCCAGTCATGGCTACAGCCCTCAACCAATAGACATCTCAGCAATGGCCCTGTCCAGAGAGTTACAGGTATGTATCTTTCTTTCACTAATCTGTGCTCGTTATTTAGGAACATCACAGATTGATTTTCTTACCCTCTCTGTGCAGTCTATGGCTGAACAGCTGGCTGAGAACTATCACAACACTTGGGGCAGGAAGAAGAAGTTAGAGCTACAGGCCAAAGGTGAGAGGTTCTTTCTACTACTCACCAGTACATGTTGATAGGCTGCAGGCTTTTAAAAATGATTTGTTCTCCTGTCAGGCGGTGGCAGCCATCCACTGCTCGTTCCTTACGACACTCTGACGGCTAAGGAGAAGGCTCGGGACAGGGAGAAGGCCCAGGACATGCTCAAGTTCCTCCAGCTGAATGGATACGCTGTGACGAGGTAGGGAGGACATTTCACCATTTCAGATTCAGTTTAGATGGTTTTGTGCTCCCTGTGGACTTCACGTCAAACTGGTGTGATTGTGTCAGAGACCCCAGTGTCAGATTGTGGGAGTCTGTGTCCAACTGTTTCTGAAAACGATAATTTGATATTCAAACTAACTTCTCAGCTTGATTGGCCACTCTTACAAATGTGAGAGAGGAGAGCAGGTCGGCCTCTCACGTCATCATCCACTGCTCTGACTTTAGATTTTTGACTTCAGACAATATATGTAAAGAATTAGATCTGAGAGAACATATATATCGGCACGGTTCTGATTATCTGTTTATTTTTATTTTTTTCTCCCAGGGGTATGAAGGACATGGAGCAAGACATTTCCTCCATCGAGAAGCGCTTTGCTTATGGTTTCCTCCAGAAGCTTCTTAAATGGATGGACATCGCACAGGAGTTCATTGCTCATCTCGGTACTGTGGTTTGAGAGACAAAGGCTTCTCATGGCCAAATATACTTCAGGGTGGCAGAATACACCATCTGAATAAGATGACTTTTCTTTTCTTTCACAGAGGCTGTGGTTAGCAGTGGTAGAGTGGAGAAATCACCTCACGAACAGGAGATCAAATTCTTCGCTAAGGTGAGATACCTGATGTGTTGGGAGTCAGAGGACATGGGTTGTGACAGATTCTCAACTGCTTGGATCCATATTTGCAAACCCACACTCGCACACACACCCACAAAGCTCTGTTATGCAATAATCTCCAAGACCCGACCTGTCACCACATGCTACATGCTCACATCAAATAGGTTATGGCCTCTTTATCCTCCTCTTATGGTGGTTGAGTTGTGATCTTTGAAAATGATCTGTTGATCTACTGCAGCAGTCAGTGTGTTTCCTCAGTGATGATGTGTCTAGCCAAAGGTGGTGACATAGGCTTTCGCGATAAAACAAATTATTGCGGCTGATCAGGCTTCATATGAGCTAATTTAGGTGTTAAAATGTATTCTTTAGCCATACCCATACCCATACATTTATATAATTATTTTCTACCCATTACACAACTTTTCGGGAGAATGTCTGACCTGGTGCAGGACTCTGTCTTAAATTATCAAAGTAATGCTTTTATGTTTTTTGTTGGATTTATATTTTATCTTGTATTTTACAGATTCTATTACCACTGATAAATCAGTACTTCAAGAACCACTGCCTGTACTTCCTCTCAACACCTGCCAAAGTCTTAGGCAGTGGAGGCCATTCCTCCAATAAGGAGAAGGAGATGATTGCAAGGTAAGTGCAATAAATATTTATTCAAAACACAGGTTTGTTCTCTGAATCATGTGACTTCACCATGTACCTCTCCCTCAGTGCAGTACTCTCATGTGTTAGTGTCTGTCCTCTCCCTCCTCCACGTCTCTTCATCTCTCTCCTGTTGTGTAAAATCCTTCATTTCTGTGACCTCCCTTTTGCTTTCTGTGTCACTTCAAACATCTTTACTTCCCTGTTATCCCTCTCCCTCTCCCTCCCTTTTTCCTCTTTTCTCCTCTGACCTCAGTATCTTCTGTAAGTTGGCTGCTTTGGTGAGACACAGAGTTTCTCTTTTTGGTAAGGAATCTGCATGGTGGCGTAATGCCTGGTCACCATCTCTGCCCCCCTACATCTGTTTTAGTCTTGAGTTTCCTTCTTTATTCCTCCAGTTCTTCGTCTTCCTTTCCACCTTCTCATTTACATACTAATCAGTGTCGTATCACAGATTTATTTCATCCTCCCAAACTCTCTCTCTCTCTCTCCTTGTCTAACACTTCTCTCTCTCTTCAGCTCAGCTTCTGCTTGGCTTTGTTGATTTTCTGTGAGCTGGTGTTTTAAATGTGTTTAGGGCTTAAATTCAGATTGATACTAACAAACTGGGTGTGATTTGAGCATGAATGTCTGCAGTGGTGTCGGGTATCTACAGATATGTATTGTATTGTTCTGTGACGTATTCTAAGCCTGGCATATATGAAGCACTACATGCTGTATTTTCATTCTCCTTCCCCTTCTCACCACCCTGTGTTTTTAATAGTCAGGCACTGGCAAACACATATCACTGAGTCTGTGCCCTTTAGCTTTAGCATTATATTAGTCAAAGTGCTCCACTGTAACTGATTTACCTCTTGAATAGTCAATTTCAAGCAGATAAATTGTGTTATTGAGCTTTTTACAGAAAGTTTAACATAAGTACCTGTATGAGATGCCTCACTTATGTAATATATATTATGTGTGATTTGTGAAAAATGATTTTCACGTAATTTTGTTTTTTGTCTATGTTTTCTAACACAATTTGCTGTTTTCTGTTTTTTCACATCGAGGATTTTAAAGTTGCTTCTCAGTAAATTAGCTTCTTTACAGTGCAGACGGCTCTGACAATGCGTCTTTGTTGTGCTGTTTTCAGGAACGGATGCGGGCGCTGTGGTTAACTGTCTGCACATTCTCTCACGATCGCTGGATGCCAGGTACCTCATCTTTCCACATCACATCCCCGTCACTCCCCAAAGCAGACAGGACATATAGAAATAAAAGTCTGTTACGTTAGCTATCTTTTATTTTACTCTTTTTATCGTGTGCACCTTTTTAAGGACTGTTATGAAATCGGGCCCTGAGATTGTGAAGGCTGGTCTGCGTCAGTTCTTTGAGAGTGCTGCAGACGACATAGAGAAGATGGTTGAGAATCTAAAACTGGGCAAAGTGTCCAGTAGAAACCAGGTCAGAGACAGAGCCATACAGCATTGTTTTTTGTTCATTTTTCTTTGACGCTAACACCTGTGTTTTGTGTTGCTATAGGTTAAGGGTGTGTCCCAGAACATCAACTACACCACCAACGCTCTGCTGCCGGTCCTCACATCACTGTTTGACCACATCGCCCAGCACCAGTTCGGAGATGACGTCATGAGTGAGTGAAGTGCTTCTCTCTTCTCTCATCTTTTGACCGACTCAAAGCTAATGCAATGCCTCTCTTCTCCACATCCTCAGTGGACGACTTGCAGATATCCTGCTATCGTTTAATGTGCAGTATCTACTCCTTGGGCACGGTGAAGACTCCTCATGTAGAGAAGTGAGTAAAGACCAATCTGTCCTCAGACCCTTAATTCAGAGGAAAAGCTGCATAAATAATCTTTAACAGGAAAAATGGTTAATACTTAAAACTTTCAAAGAATGATTGTGTATTGATTGTTTTTGATTTTTCATTCATGTTCTGGTGTTTTTCTCCTGTAAAGGCAGCGACCAGCTCTTGGCGAGTGTTTGGCCCACTTAGCAGCTGCAATGCCAGTCGCCTTCCTTGAGCCTGAACTGAATGAGTTCAACATGTTCTCTGTTTACACCACTAAGACTCCCAGAGAGCGATCCAGTGGGTTTTATTATCCTCTACCATTTTATTTTACACGTATCACATGATGAGAATGTATTTACTGGATTGTTTTCTTATATTTATATCTTTTCTGTCACTTCTCTCCCTCCTCAGTTCTGGGTCTTCCCAACCAAGTGGAGGAGCTGTGCCCTGACATCCCTGGGCTGGAGATCCTGATGAAGGAAATCCATGACCTCGCTGAGTCTGGCGCTCGCTACACAGAAATGCCCCATGTGATTGAGATCACGCTGCCAATGCTGTGTAACTATCTCCCCCGCTGGTGGGAAAGGGGCCCAGAGAATTTCCCCGAGCAGGAGGGCCAGCTGTGCACCTCTGTCACCTCCGAGCAGCTCAACCATTTGCTGGGAAGCATTATGAAGATTGTGGTTAACAACTTGGGTATCGATGAGGCCTCCTGGATGAAGAGATTGGCAGGTGAGCTGGCAGAGATTTCACAATAGGACAGAAGAAGGCTCTCAGGTTATGTCAGACACTTTCTGATTCTCCATTTGACCTCTCTGGTTGTGTGGGGCCATTCTCACATTTTGTATATATCTAATATTTGGAGACTGAACTTCCTGACTACCTCTGATGACTCCTGTCTATCGTCCAGTGTTTGCACAGCCCATCGTCAGCAGGGCTAAACCAGAGATGCTGAAATCTCACTTCATTCCCACCATGGAAAAGCTGAAGAAGCGTTCAGGAAAAGTAGTGGCTGAGGAGGATCAGTTGCGCATGGAGGGCAAGACAGAGGTGGACAGTGAGAATGGGACCATCCGGGATGAGTTTGCTGTGCTGTGTCGGGACCTGTATGCTCTGTACCCGCTGCTCATCCGCTACGTGGACAATAACAGGTAGTGACACTGCTCTGACTGACTGAGTGACACATGATGAATGTATTTGTTCTGGAAACTAAACTACAACATTTTTTGTTTTAAAAGATGTGTCTGCGTCCACTGCTTAAATTTACATTACCTCTATATCTGTCTGATACCTGCTGCACACTGGAGGATCTCAAATCGTTGCTGATTTAAAAATCACAAGAGACCACAGACATAACGACAGATGTAAATGTAATTTTATCTTTTAAGTGTGAGAAGACCACACACTTCAGAGTCAGACTCCTTTTATCAGCTGGTTTCACTTGTTTTTTATGCTTTGCACAAATATGTGACACATTAAATTAGCATTCATACTGTAGTTACAATTCCACATTTACACTTTGTGTTTGCAAACAGAAAGTTGTGATACGATAACTGAATCTTGGTCTGTCATTGCTTTGTGTGTCTGCAGAGCGAGATGGCTGACGTGTCCAGATCCAGATGCAGAGGAGCTGTTCAGGATGGTGGGAGAGGTCTTCATCTTCTGGTCCAAATCTCATGTGAGTTCTCTGGTGGCTGTTCGCTTCTATGGTTTTCTGTTTTGTTATATTTTACGTCGCTGTTTTCCTACGTTTTTTTCTTGTGTTCTTTGATTCCAGAACTTTAAGAGGGAAGAGCAGAACTTTGTGGTGATGAATGAGATCAACAACATGTCCTTCCTGACCGCTGACAGTAAGAGCAAGATGAGCAAGGTGAGAGTGGACCAGCACACAAACGTCCAAGTTAAACATGGCTAAGATGGCTTCATACTTATTTGATGTTTTATTCACTTACTAGAGCTGTAACTCATTAAGAAACTAAACTCTAATAATAATATTTCACTAACACCATCCATTTCAAACAGGGAAAGATTCAACCCCTCTTGATTTAAGCTATTTCCTTTCTTTCCTTTAAGTTGCTATGGATAAAAATGTCAGGTAAATGATTATTCTGCAAATAACAATATTTTTTATAGATATTAGAATTTCACAGTAATAGTCCAGTAGATAACTAATAAATCATTTTCCAGGACAATGTAAGTGGCAGTGTACATAGCCTTCAGGCAGTAGAAGGAGTGTCGCTAACTGTCTTCTCTCCTTATATCCTGTGTCGGTGTTGGACGCTGGGCCACTAGGCCGGAGATGGAGAGGTTAGACTGTGTTTGTGCACGAGCGCTGTGCTGACCGCATGGCACCCTGAGTTAGGGAGGCGTTTCATCAAGCTCTCACCAAATGCCGCTCCTCTTACACACAGACCCTGATAAAACAAACATATGCATACACACAAAACAGGATAATGAGGGCTGAAGGAAACATTGTGTCACGTAGGTTTGGTTGATAAAGCCTTTTTTTTAGAATTGTGTTGTGTGAATGGGACATATTTGCGATGAGTAATACTGAGTGTGTGTGTGCGTGTGTATTAGAGATGTGCCTTTATATGCTTTCATGTGTGTTTGTATATGTGTAAGTAGGGGTCTGGAGCGGCTTGATGAAAGGTCTTTGCTGTAGGTTGTGGTGGCCTGAAAGGACTCATGGGGCTCGGTTGAGCATCTCGCCGAGCACCATCACTCTGTTTCTGTTTGATTAATAAACAGTTTGCCTTTAGATGGTCCCTGTTGGAAACAGCTGCGGAGCTCGGCTACTTTGCCATCTGTGGTTTGGAAATGTTGTCGTTGACGCTTGGATTTCATGTCGTGGTAAAGATTCCTGCGCTGGGGGACTCTTCTCTTTACAACCAAAAAGTCACATCATCCCTTTTACTGCTGCCATTAGATTTGCTTGTTCCATCTGTAGCACACGTAGCTGAGGCTAGCTCTACATCACCAGATAGCTGCCATCTTATTTACTAACTGGACTCCATGTCTAATTCATTGACACCATTTAATTGTTAAATCATTCAGTATCTAATCAGTGTTGATGTTTTACGTGGTTGCTGTAAGAGGAATAAGAAAACCTCCTCTCCGTGGCGATCAGCCGAACATTACTGAAGTAAGTTTCTGTTGACTGATCATCACAACGCCTCTCTCTGCCCACCCACCCACACACACACACACACACACACACACACACACACACACACTGAGGGCAGAGTGGGCGCGGTGAGGCCAGACAACAGTCAGTAATGAGCACTGGCAGCCTCAGGACAGGAGTGTGTGAGAAGAGCTCCAGGGCGACAGAGCTGACCCCATAGACTTGTGCTGCTGTGTATGCTGGACAGGACATCCCCATACTACTGGCCACTGCTCTACTAACAGTGAGGCTGCAAGGTGTGCAAAGACTGTAGCAATGAAACACCTGAAACATCAACACAGGTTGATGTTTACAAGGAAATGTAGTTGTTGGTCTGTCTTTATGTGAGGTGCAGTTATTTGTACAGTTGTTGATTATCAGCATGTTATTGCATTAAAATGTTACTGACAGCTGATCAATGTCCTTTTAAATTATGTGTTAGAAGTAGTTTTTCTTCATCCCCTCTTTGTTAACGATCCTCAAAAACCTCTGGGGTCTTAAGTTATTTTCTGAAAAGGAAAGTTTTGGTATGTGAGGTTGGAAATGGAGCTTCTCTTTCTTTCTTTAGTCCGGAGGCTCGGAGCAGGAGCGCACAAAGAAGAAGCGTCGGGGGGATCGCTACTCTGTGCAGACCTCCCTTATTGTCGCAGCATTGAAAAAGATGCTTCCCATCGGACTCAACATGTGCTCCCCTGCAGACCAGGAGCTCATAAACCTCGCGAAGATCAGATACTCACTGGTACTGTGATGCATTTGAAGCCAACCCATTGACTGCATTGTGTCCAGATATATTATTATAGTATAATGTTTGAATCAAAATAATGATCTATGATGTAATTTTGTCCATAATCTTGGAGTTAAGTTTCTTTTTGTGTTAGGAATTTGTGGGAAATACATGTGAATTATGTTTGTCAATAATGCAAAAGACCATTATGAATGTCCTGTGAATCTTCGTCCTTGTAGAAAGACACAGATGAAGAGGTGAGAGAGTTCTTGCACAACAACCTGCATCTTCAAGGGAAGGTGAGTAGATCTTTTAATTATTTTACAGATTAAAAACAAGACCAAAAACACAAATTCCCCTCTTAATATCTTTACGTGGGTCATGCATACATGTATGTGTCCCTCTGAATCAGGTGGAGGACCCTGCCATGCGCTGGCAGATGTCTCTTTATAAAGAAATGTCTGGAAAAGCTGAAGATGCAGAGGACCCTGAGAAGGTGGTTAAAAGGGTTCAGGAGGTGTCTGCCGTCCTGTACCACATTGAGGTGGTGAGTATAGACACTAACACAACTCAAGCGGTTGACATAGAAATACAAGGTGTGGGATGAGAAAAGCAAAATATGTGGACATAGTCTGAGCAAGGATTTGTTCAGCTGATATTTTTTCCTTTCTTCAGACCGAGCATCCCTTCAAGTCAAAGAAAATGGTTTGGCACAAGCTGCTGTCCAAACAGCGTCGCAGGGCAGTGGTGGCCTGTTTCAGGATGACGCCGCTCTACAACATCCCCACGTAATCATTTTGTTCTTTCTCTCTAAAAACTATTTGTAATAAAATGTGAAGCATATACATGAGCCATCACAGTCCTCACTAATTATGTCGATGTCTTCTCGTCTCACAGGCACAGAGCAACCAACATGTTTTTGGATGCATACAAGCGCAACTGGTTAGAGACCGAGGGTTACTCATTTGAGGACAAGATGATTGACGACTTATCAGTGAGTTGCTTTATTTCTGAGATGTACAATTGATTTTAAGAGCCCCTAGGCTTTTATCACAGTTCACATCATCTCTAACAATTAGAAAGCCATGGAGGAAGAGGAGGAAGAGGAAGAGGAAACAGAGACGAAGCCTGACCCCCTTCATCAGCTGATTCTTCATTTCAGCCGCACAGCTCTGACGGAAAAGACGTAAGAGCCACTTGCTCTCTCTGTGGCGCAGCTGTGTGACCTGTTCTTCAGTGAGACTGTGTTTTATTTCTTCTCGTTACAGAAAACTTGATGTCGACCATCTCTATATGTCATATGCTGATATTATGGCAAAGGTAAGACGATCAGCATCATCTCATACCTCCTCTCTAACTGGAATTAGTTTATAACCTTACTTAGTGCAAACCTGACATACACAAATTGGTGTCTTTCTTTGTGAGACTATGAAAATAACCTCGTACTCACTCATGACTTTCTGTCGTCTCCCCGCAGAGCTGCCACATTGGTGAGGAAGACGAAGGGGGAGAACAGGAGGGGGAGGAGCCATCCTTTGAGGTGCGACAGACAGAGATGGTATGGGGGGACCAGGGGAAGGGGCACAGGGGAGTCAGCGGAGAAGCAGCGGAGTGACCACACCACTCCATCACACTCGGCACACACCCCCCCACCATCAAATATTTGCTACGACATTTCTCTTTCTCTCTCTTCCTGGCTTTTTCTCGTTCACTCACACCACTTGTCTATCTCCTGCCCTGGTGGACTGACCTGTGCATGCCTTTGCTGGACTCTGCCCACCAGTCGACTCAACGTTTCGAACTCAAATTTGTTCTAGTCTCTAAATTGCATGAACTGAGTGCAGAGAGATGGTGCAGCTAAAGACAACAAAATGAAAACTAGGTCAAAACAAACCACTGATGTTTCGGTAGCTGTTTGATTTCAGAATCACAATTTCCAATCCTGATGTGTCATCATATCCCAGCATCATTTAACATTTATCTATAGAAGAACTGCAGCAGTTAAATAAATGGACAAATACAGAGGTTTTTGCTGTTTGCCTATCCGAGAAAGGCCCCTTTAAAATCAGTTGCCTCCAGAAGTTTTTTTATTCACTTTCTTTAACATGTTGAGGGAGGTATGCATTCTCTGAGCATCTTTATAGTTCTTAAAAGCTTTCAAAAACAAATGATCGCATCAGTTACAATATGGCTGTAAACATATTCAAACATCCAAACATGCCTTTTTTTAGCAGTGTTTCTTAACTATCATGTAGCATTTATGCAGCCAGACATTGAAGATGGAAAACCATGTGCTCATCAACACCTAAGATCGATACTAAATCAACTCCTTAGTCTGATTGGTTATTTGAATGAAGATCTGAATGGTTTGTTTTGCTCAAAGTCCAGGTTTGGACACTGTGATGTTGTAGCTATAGAACCATGGCTTTTCCTGGAGGGCAGCATCACCCATCTGCACTGCAGGAATCTCTCCAGTGAGATTATTTTTTAACCAATTGAAGATAATACGATTTTTCTTTTGCACAGAAATGTGATGCTGCCACCCGAGACCGAACTGAGAAGCTATATTTTTCAGAAACTTTGATAATCAGGTTTCTTTAACAGTAGAACCAGCTCTTTTGTGCTGACCTAATACATCTGTGATCAGACCTGCACCACCCTATCTTGACTTACACCTCCTGTACTCACCTGCTAATCGGGCCGTGTTCACTCTATTCGTCTGATAACTCGACTTCGAGACCTAACAACTAACAAGTAACAGATTTTGTTTGTCTTTACTTTGAATTGGAGATTGTTAACAAGTCTCCCTCTCTGTGCTCACGAAGGACAACAGTAAAAGCCTGCACAGTCAGCCGTACATGCACGCCCCCACCACAAACACACACACTCATGCAAGCAAACGATCACACACACACATACATTCATCCGGACACACACACACATACATTCATCCAGACACACACACACACAGACTTGCAAACTCACACACAACTCTCTTTTTTTCCACTCATCACGAAGACAAAACATTTGCAGAATATGCAGAATGTCTGTAACCAGAGAAGAAGTTGCTCCGTAACTTTTTAAACACAATCAGGCACATGGGGGAGGGGTAAGGACGGAGGGGTAGACCAGTTGTGGGTGCTGTGGGTGGGGCTCTGTGCATGGTGTGCAGTGGGTGGGTGACATCTAACCTCTTTTGTCAACAGGATGGCCACTCATATCAGTTTTATTAAATCTGAAATAAGAGAAAAGTTGCACTTACTACTGTATAAATGTTTTAATCCACAGCAGGTCTTCATATTGTATTGTATATGAACAAACAGTTAACAATATCTTAATAAATAATATAATTTAATTTTGTTAAAATTGTTTAAACTGGAATAACATATCTAGAAAGCGTCATTTTTATAAATTGAAAATTAATTTAAAGTCAAATAGCAAATGTAGAACATTAATTGTCAATATCCCAATATTGTTATTTTGCTTAAAGTAAATACAAAATGTATATATATTTATATCTTTCAGTGACTTCACAAGAGTAAATCAACTCTTAAACTCGCAAAGTAAAGAACATGCATAGTTAATTAAAGTAAAATAATTTCCCTCAGACAGGAACCACACAACACTGTTGCAGGCTGCATAACTGCAGCTCTTCATGTGGTACTGTTGTAAGCAGGAGGCGCATGCTGTAAGTGTTAGTCAGAACACTACGGTCGTCCGAAGTGTGTGTGACGTCTGTGTTGTGCTCTGGGAAATAAATGTTTGCTGCTTTCGAATGTCTGCTCCCTTGAGAAGACGTCAACAGCTGGAATAATGATCATCACTAATCCACGTCGTGTTCCAATGGAAGAGAATGTGAGGTCCGTACACGTGTGTGTGCGCGTGTGTGTGTGGGGGGCAGTGCAGTCCCTGTTGGCAGGGTTACAGCTGTGTCCCTCTTGTTCTCCTCCACAGGAAAAGGAGATGGAGAAACAGAGGCTTCTGTACCAGCAGTCCCGTCTACACAACCGTGGGGCTGCAGAGATGGTGCTGCAGATGATCAGTGCCTGTAAAGGTAGCTGGTTTACCACACACACACACACACACACACACACACACACACACACACACACATTAAAAGTTTCCTCTACAACTAACGTCTCCAACTGTTTCAGGCGAACCTGGAGCCATGGTTTCTTCTACACTCAAACTGGGAATCTCCATCCTCAATGGAGGCAACAGTGATGTACAGCAGGTAAACGCAGTCAGATCAGATTTGTGCTCACATTCTGGGCAGATATATTTCTACGTTTTCTGTTTGTCAATGTGACACCAGTGCAACTGTTTCCCATCTGTGTGCAGAGGATGCTGGACTATCTGAAGGATAAAAAGGACGTGGGATTCTTCCTTAGCGTTCAGGCTCTGATGCAGACCTGCAGGTTTGTGATGAATTCACATGCAATGTTTTTTGTTTTTCACCTTTCCTGTGTCTGAACTACTAATGAGTCTTATTTTACCTGGCAGTAGAGATCGTTTGGATGTTTTTATTGTTAAAGTGAGTGTTTGGTGTTGACAGCGTCTTGGATCTGAATGCTTTTGAGAGACAAAACAAGGCTGAAGGACTTGGGATGGTTTCAGAAGAAGGCACCAGTGAGTATGAACGACAGCTTCCTACTGTGAAATACTATCTGAGCTAACTGTCCTACACATGCATTTACACACACACACACACACACACACACACACACACACACACACTTACACACACACGTCTTTGTTCTCCTACTTTACGTTTGTGATTTAATTGATTTTGTACTTGTAGTTGTATTTGTGTAGTCTGTTCTCGTGTGTCTGTGTTTGCCTGTTCGTGGATGCCTGGTTGCAGGTATGTTGTCATGTTCTAAGTGTGTCGAGTGTTTAGCGCCCCAGCAGCATTTTGACTGATGTTTGAAACTGTTGATCATCCACTGACAGCCACGAGATGTTTGGACTCACTGCGTCTCTTTGTCTCTCTCTCTCCCACACCTTGTTCACTTTGCCCATTTCATTTACCCCTCACGTCGTCCCCACTCATCTATTTTTCTGCACTTGCGGTTCTCAGATAAGAAGCTAGAACGTGGTAAATGAAACTCTGCTGTCAAACCCTCTCTCTCCTTCCTCTGTCACTCTGAATCAACACCTCACTAGTCTTCTACTTGCTGTGGACTTAATATGCATTTCATTTCACACTCAAGGAGCCGGTGAAATCTAACTTTACAGTCACGTCCTCTTTCTTACGTCATGTAAAAGAAGCCAGGCATCGATTCACATGCTGCTGTAGTTATACTCATGCATTGTATCTCTGCCCCTTTTTCCTCGTGAAGTGATTGTAAAGTTAGAGTTTTGTCCTTGAGTGTTTTCATCACAGATCTACTGTAACTCTGACAACTCAGTCATTGTGAAGGCGGTGATCTTGTTCTTCCTCTCTCACAAGTAGAGCTGCACCGACCCTGTGTCCTACAAAGTCTGAAATGAATTGCAGTAGGTTCGATTCCAGCCTGTGGCCCTCTGTTGCTGGCTGCCCCCCATTCTCCCTCTGTCCCCCTTTTACAACTAGACTCTCTCTCCTTTCAAATAAAGCCCTTAAAAGACCCTAAATACATATATATATATATATATATATATATATATATATATATGTATATGTATTTGTGTATATATAAAAACTCAAAAAAAACAAATGCAGTTGGTTCACCCTTGTCCAGGACGAATCCACACTGTTACAATATCTGTGTGAAGTCACTGATATAGAAAACCTTACTTCCTCTAAAATGTTCGATGATACATCCTCAATGCGTTTTGAGATCTGATCAACGAGACCACAGTGACTACATTTCAAAGGACACCTTTATATTATTCAGAATAAAACATTATTTCAAGAGTGGCATTAACATGAGTTTCTAATAGAATATTCCTTCCTGTTCACATGGTACAGAGCATAGTCATTATGTCCACTACGTCATAACATGCAGTATTATTTTGCCAGTTTTAAAACAAAGACCTAGTAGTTTAATGCACAATGCTACAACTACAAACTGCAACTCCTTCCTATTTCTCCATCTTTTACACACTCGTTGATGTTGCAGAAAGCTGTGAAAACTCCACTTGGATGTTATAATGCGATGAAGATGTCTCAGTTTGATTATTTCTTAATTATGACCTTACTAAGATAATGAGAAAATGCTGGACAGTGTAAGTTTGTCTGTTGACACCTCACATTAAGATGTGTCTAGACTCTGGGTGTGTTCAGATCTGTACTTAGCTCTGACCACTTGATCAGATCCCTCTGGACAGATGTTAATACGAGGTGTGAACAGGGTCACATTTTTCTTAATGTCAGATACAGCCTTGTAATCTTGTATCTTTCTCCCATAATAATCTGTTGACTCTATTGTATGTGGCCCTTTGCTTGCTACAGATATGGGATATTATTTATCATTTTTTGGTTGCACATTTCAACCCCGACTCTGTGTCCGACTGCGTTTGTCGTTTGAAAATACGAAACCCAGCATCACCACAACAGTTTCTCTTTTTGTTGTTATTTCTGAGCATGTTTGTCAGTTTCTGAGAAAGACAAATCGTGTTTTGAAGTTGTCCCAACCAATATTCACTTTTGAAGGCATGTTGATAGAACTCTGTGAAATGTGTATTTTGTGATGGATGGGATTTCAAATATTTAAGTGGGAACACACATAAAAAGTTTCCTGTAAAAGGATTCTTTACCTCCATTCTGAAAACCAAAAAAACACTAACTCCCAGAATCTGTATTTTCCAGCATCCGATATACGTTTTTTAAATTTATCTTCCATTCTCTCAGCTCACTGGAGTTTGCAGAGTTCAGTAGATCTGTCCTGCATGGCTGTGTTACTTCTGTGCTCACCGTCACATTTGTGTCGTCAGTGTTATTTTGTGTCGTCAGTGTTATTTTGTGTCGTCAGTGTTATTTTGTGTACGTACATATCTGTTTTTCACTGGTGAACTGTCTTCATTTATCTGTGTATCTTTAAATGTGATGTGACCTGTTCTGCATTCGAGTTTTGTTGAAAACCTGTTTTCAAAAAGTATTTGGAGAAACAAACATTGGTAAAGTTTTGTGGGAGGGAGCCAGAGGAAAAAGAAACTGGAGTGAGTGTGGCGGCGTTAAGGTCCCGCTCCTGTTGACACATGGACAGAGACTCAGAGGTTTTTGTCTTTCACTAACATGTTCTAATGAAAGAAGACAAAGTACGAGGTGACGTAACACTTGTACTGTTTTTGTGTCGCGCTTTTTCAGAGACACGTGCATGTTAACACGCATAGCGCAGAACATACAACATACATGTGCCCTAAGCAATGTGTCACTCACTGGTTGATAAGATTTTTGTTTCGAATATTTGCTTAACATTTCACTAGAGCAGTTTGCAGTGCTTAGTGTGTATCTGCAGATGTGTAATGTAAAATTAATTTATCACCATTTCAGCAGTGTTGATTTGAACTAACAGTCAATTATTAGTCTAGTACTA